AGCCCAGCATCCTCAACGTTGAAAATTGCCCTGGCACGAAGTGGTTAATAAGGTTCATGATTGACAGATTTTAAGAAATCATTAATGATACTACTGTTACCTCAAAGGTAGTGTGCAATTATCAAGTTAAAGACACTGCCAAGTCAGGGGTCCAGGGTTTGCATTCTGCCAAGGAGTTATGTGGAAGCCCTCTGAAGGGCAAGGCATTCAGTACTGAAAAATGTAAGGTTGACGTAGGGTAGCTAGCCCCAGACCAAGTAGAAGAGATTACCCGTGATTCTCATTGTCACAAAATTATCACAGACTTGATTCAAATGATTGCCAGCTTGTCTGCATGTGACCACTTACATATTTATCAAAAGATTATCAAATTTCATGTGGAGAAAAAAACCCGCTGAGTATCTTTGGGAACCAGCTAATGGAGAACTTCTCTATCTCCTGCTAAAATCGGGCATGAATGTAACTACCGATATTACAAATGTCGCCTGATGCCTGGATTTCAATAGTCAGCAGTGTGAAGATTCATCTATTCTCCAGGCAGTACATCTTTGAGAATGGTTACATCATTTCAAGAGGCCATTTTAAGGGAATTGAGTTTAGCAATTTCGTAGTCTTCAAGATTGTATCTCCTTTTTATTATGTTTCTCGCTTTCCCTCATGTTGATGTTTATGGACAGAAATACCCAGTAATCAGAGAGAAATCTTCAGGGTTGATTGGTTACATCATCGCCATGTTTGGACGGGATTCAGACATGGTGAGTTGAACCGTAGAACTAGCCATTAGAAAAATGAAAAGACTCCAAATTGTACATTTTGCCACAGTACTTGGCACTGTGCTGGAGTTGGAGCCCAAACCTCGTAAATAATAATAATAAGTAATAATAATTGCCATTTATAAAGTGCCTGATCCATTAAGCTGCTCCCATGCGCTGTACATTGTAATTTCTACCTGTAATTTCCTCACTGGATCTTTGGCCAGAGTGTGGCCGAATGCTGTTAGAGCATTTGGTGGTCTGCAGCGCATACTGCCACAGAGGGAGTTTTCCTTACAGTTTGACATCAAACCTCAGAAGTCAGAAGAGAACTTTAGGCCTTACTCAACTTAAAACAAGCCGTGATTCTGCCGTCAGAAGATTCTGAAAATAGTGCTTTTGCCATGTTTTGCCAAAATGACAGTTGCAAGATATGATAGAAACCTGTTAAGCACACTTGAAGGTTGGCATTCACAATTCAAAGTGCCGTTGTTTGACTTGGGTTAGCCTTATTTTCCATTTTAATGTGTTCTTTGTTTTTCAAGTTTCAACCAAAGATTTCTTGTATAAGACAGCTTTAATATTACAACAATAAGTTAACAATGTTATCAACATAGAGAGATGTTGACTTTGTGGATGTAACTTCTTGATCCAAGGATATGAACCATAATTATACAGAGAAAATCCCATTTTTATAATTTTTGTTTTCATTTCTGCGGCCAATTCGATTCCAGATCACTAAAATCAACAATGTCTTAGAGATGACAGAGGGCAAAGATTACCTTGACAAATCGACAATCTACTTCTACCTCTTCAAGGCATACGGTAAGATTGATTTTGCATCCATTGCCTTCGGTAATGGAGTAGACAGTCTTTCTGTGTAATTTGGGGGGCAACATAAGAGAGACAGACATATTTGTAACTTGACATTGTCCTTGACGACAGGTTTGCAGTGAGGTTGGAAAAAACACTTTCTTTATTCAGTTATGCGGAGGGGAGCTATCGGTAACTGAATCAGCAAACATTTTGTGAGAAAACTCAATTTTTTTATTTGAGTTTTGAGAGAACACAGGATAAGATTGACTTGATAAGCCCTGACCACTTTTGGATTGTTGTTAAGGTTTTTAAAAATTATTTTTATGAGGCAGGAGAAGCCATGCCGGGAATATTCAAACAAATGCCACAGTACCAGTGAATCAAAGAATTAGAGAACTTAGTTTTCTGCATTTTTCCAAAAATTACAAATAATGACACTTGTAGTAAGCCAATGAGAACTGTTGTCCATAAAGCAAGTCCAAAACCTTGGAAAACGAGTGATTAATTCCTTCCCAGCTCCAGTCTTCATAAGGAAGTGGCATCCGATAAAAAGGGGAAAGAGTCCACATTTAATTTCTGTAGTGTTAGAATTACCGGTGTACACTGATCATAGAAGCTTAACCTAACCCTCCTCAATCCTTCACCTGTCGGAGGACTGAGGAGGGTTAGGGTTTTAACGGCTAGTCCTTACACTTGCTGGACTCATCACGAAGGAATATGCGTTTATTTCTTTTTTAACAGACCAGGCCAATGAGTGGGAAGCTGCGTCAAAACTCCGCGAGAAAATGATCGCAGAAAATTTACCCATAACCGATTTTAATCTGAAGAGACTTGCCATGCTTCTCCAACGCAACAACCAACCCGTACCCTTTGAAGAACCCCCAGTGAGTTTTGTCAATTCGTTTTTTTTCTCCTT